GACCTCACCCCACGCCGCGGCTGGGGGAGGGGGGGGCGGACAGGGCTCCCCGCTCGCCTTGCCCCGGGGCGCTGCGCCTTGCCGGTCGAGCCCGGGGGTGGCCCGTAGCGTTGTGAAATGCCCGGGGGGAGGGGCGTTACAAAGCTGAGACGAGTCCGGGCTGCCCTGCCTCCGTGTTCCGCTCCCGTCGGGCCAGGGCGTGGTCACTTGGGCCAGGGTGGGCTCCAGGCTGCTGCTTCCTGCTGCCTGGCTTGCAGAGGTGAGATCTCGCTGCGCGCTCTGGCGCCTTGCACCATGTGCTGCCTCTGCTGGGTCTATGCTCTGAGCTGCAAGTAGAGATGCAGCATAGTATTCCGGGACCAGCGTTCCCTGTCAGCTGTGCGCTGATGGGCCACTCAGGAGCGATTTCAGTGCTGCCCAGCTGACTAGCAAAGAGCCCCCAGCTAGGTTTTTTTGTGCACTATGCATAGAAACATTAGGGATGTGAAAGTGTAACCATGTCCACAGTTAACCAATGAGCCTGGGTTGGTCAGTTCACATGTACAGTTACATGCAGCTCCCCCCCTTTTGCGTGGGGAGGGGGGCAGCCTTTTAAACCAGTTCATTGCATGTACCAACTCCCATGAAACCACTTGTCCCTCCTCCCATGCTGGTGCTGCAGGAAGGAGTTGCTTCGTCATCGCCCCCTCCCCCATGTAGAACTGCTGAAATTTTTTGCAGTTACATGATTACATAATTAAATGCATTTTAACATTCCTAGTGCACATTCGCACATGCTTCTATGCATGTAAAAAAATTTGCATGGGCTGGAAAAGATTAAAAGGAACATTGGCAGGGACCTGTTATCTCTGCAAGATATACCTTTTAGCTAGAAATTTCTGTCTTCACAAGCCATACTTCTGTCCTGCTGCTTGTTATATTTTTGTGTGGCCACATCTCTTGCTCACTGGAAATCACAAGGCTTGCTGAGGCTTCTGGTTCCATTCAGGATTGTTCTCCCCAAGTGCTGAGAGTCCTGTTTGCCTTGCTTTGGGAATCTAATTCTAGTCTCTGCTCTTCTGTTAATATTTCAAGGCTTCCAGCTTCAAGAAATCTACATTAGGGGCAGCAACCCAGAGGAAGAAGACAGGTCCTAAACTTGAACTAACTGAAGACCAGAAGCAGGAGATCCGAGAGGCTTTTGATTTGTTTGATACCGATGGCAGTGGGAGCATAGATGTTAAGGAGCTCAAGGCAAGATTAAACTCCATGTTAAAGAGAAAAAGGACCTTGATATATAGAGATCTCATCTAATTTATGTTGCAGCTGGGGAGGGTTGATTTCTTCATGGCACAAAACTGCTGCAATCCCCACACAGTTGCTGTATGTCTCTCTTTGTGGCTGTCTCTTACTCCCATGGGGCTCTTGTAGCTGGGTTGACAAACACATTCTGGAATGTAGTTCTAGGATATCATGAATTTTGTATATGTTGGTAGGAAGTCAAAGGTTTTTGGTCATTACATAAGCCAAGTTAGGACCGTACCATTCTGAAAGCCATTGTTAAAAACATGCCAGTGTCATTCATTTCTGTATCTGACAGAGCAGATATGAGTACCTGATTCTTTCCATTAGGGAAATGAGTACCTGATTCATTCCATTAGGGAAATGATGACTAATCCTGTCAACAATTTTCCTGCTTTCCTGATCTCGCTCTTCTGCTGCCGCACTCAGAGGATCATGAAGAAAAGCAAACTTCATTACTGCTATTTGTCTCTTCACCAGTAAACACAAAAGCCAAATATGTGGAGGAGTGGGAAAACCTCTCATATATGCTTCTTGCTAAATAGTGCTTTCCTGGGGGCATTCTAGGGGGAGTGGATTTCTGTACTCATTGAGAGAAATCATCATGATGTTAGTGAAATTTGATGGGAGGCTGAAATACCTTCTATATGTATGATAGACAAAAACGACTGTTCAGCTCTTTGAAGGAGCTTTATTGAGAAACCAGAATCCCAGCTGTTTTATACCTTCTGCTGAAGATTTATATCAAGGCATAGGCCTTAACTCCCACTAGGCATTAAGTGATGGTTGAACTGAGGCGCACTAGATACCGTAGTTCACATCTTATCTTCTCCTTAACCCTAAGCTTCTTGAAGGTTGTGACCTTTCTTTGCTGTCCAGTTACTGCCCTAATGACTCCAGGAAGTCTGAACCAGGCTTTTTCAGTAGATCTGAGATTCCTCATTGAAGGTAGTGTCCACATAGTTGTGTAGTATTCCTTTTACCAATAAAATAGGAGAGCTCTCTGCATTTCCTATTACCTCATCCACACCTAATTTTTGATAGAGAAAAGGTGGCCTGTTAGAGCTGTACTATTTGTTTATTCAAACCTTTCACCTAACTAGGATACTTACCTCTGAATGGGTTATGAGTGTCCTAAGCAAGAAAGGAGGAAAACCCAGTCCTCAAAGTAGGGGTGGACAATAATTTTTATGGGGGGAGGGCGGAACTTAATGAATGTTGCGATGTGGTCATGGGTTGGCTACACCTCTGGAAGGGGTGGGGCCTGGGGATTAGCCTCCCCCCAGAGTTGCCATGCTGCAGGCTTTGAATTAAACACAGCAAATGGCCTGGTAGCCGCCAGGTAGCAAACGGCCAAGGATTGCTGTGGCTATTTAAAAGGTTTACAGCTCCGACTCCTGCCAGAAAGCACCACAACTGAGAGCTGTGAACCCATTTAAATAGGATCCTACTGCCTGAGCCACTGCCTGGAAATTTGGTGGCATGGGCAGTAGGATATAAATAGAAAGCAACCAGATGCAGCCCACAGGCCGGATCAAACTGTTAATTGGGCTGGATCTGGCCCCCAGGCTGCATCTTGCCCAGCCTTGTCTCAAAGTGTGCTTAAGTAGATAACCTTCTTAAGAATGGCTCTTTTTTTCTCAAGCCTGGGTTTTGCTACATGACACACACACAAAGGAAAAGAATATTTAATTTGCATGGTTTCCAAATGGAACTGGCACCAGAGTTTTGGGCAGTGTCATTCATAGCTGCCTTCAAACTTGATGTTTTGTTTTAGAAAGTTAAAGATCAAATGAATAAGGTTAAAGACCTCAGGATCAGATGGAACAATTCCTTAGGCAGCATGGGTGATGAGTCTTAAATCTGCTGGGGTTTTATCTTATGGAAGAAAGAGGGTCTATACAGAATACCAAGAACTTCTGTTTTCCATTAATTTCACCCTTTACTGAGTTCACTTCCTTGCCAGTTGACCAGAGAAGGCTGGACACAACATTCTCCAGAGTATGTCTAGAGAGTTTCTATACTAGCCAAAGGGGTTGCTGTAAAGATATTCAGTTCTCTCCAGCTGGCTAAGTGTTACGCTGAAGCTGAGTGCACTTAGGAGACTTGGGAGAACCTATTTTAAAAGCATGGCATAGTTTTTTCTTTTTTCTTCTCTTGTTCTATTTCCAATGCCCACAGAGAGGCTAATTTCATTTCCCTGTTTGCAGGTGGCCATGAGAGCACTAGGATTTGAACCCAAAAAAGAAGAGATCAAGAAAATGATATCTGACATTGATAAGGAAGGAACAGGAAAGATAAGCTTCAGTGACTTTCTGGTGGTGATGACTCAGAAGATGGTATGTAAATTGGGACAGTCAATGAAACCAATTTTACAATCTGTTCAGTGCATTTCAGTTCCTGTTAAATTCAGTGGGAATTGAAAGGACTCAAAACTTTCCAACCTAATCTTAGGAACCAAGTATGTAGAATTTATGGCTATAAACAGGAACAATCCCATCACAGTTAGTGGTGTCTTTAAGATTTGTTTCTGATACGACTGCTTAAAAAGAAGGGAATGGAAAGAAATTAATATAATCAAAACCACACTAGAGAGGAAAAACAACTTTAACCCCCAAGAAAAGCTGTGATGTTGATAAGTTGCAAGGATGACAGTGATAGTTGTTGAACTAGTTCAGTATTTTTCCAAATTTAAGATAACTATGATCTGTGTACCAAAAAAATCTTAGAAAACCTCCCTGATAACAAAATAACATTTTTGACAGTTTAGAACAGCAGTAGGCAACCTAGGTGAGTGAGTGGGCCATATGAGTGGTCATCCTTATCTCAATGGGCCGCAAGACCATCATAACCAAGATGGTCTCCTGGGATAAGGTAGTTTTGCTAATTGTGGCTATGTCTAAGTGACTGGGCAACAAAATGGCAATGAAATTTAATGTCGATAAATATAAAGTAATGCACATTAGAAAAAATAACCCCAAATATACATATACTATGATGGGGGTCTAATTTAGCTACAACCAATCAGGAAAGAGATCTTGGAGTCATCGTGGATAGTCCTCTGAAAATGTCCATGCAGTGTGCAGCAGCAGTCAAAAAAGCAAACAGGATGTTGGGAATCATAAAAAGGGATAGAGAATAAGATGGAGAATATCGTATTGCCCTTATATAAATCCATGGTACATCCACATCTTGAATCCTGTATAGAGATGTGGTCTCCTCATCTCAAAAAAGATATACTGGCATTGGAAAAGGTTCGGAAAAGGGCAACTAAAATTATTAGGGGTTTGGAACGGGTCCCATAATGAGGAGAGATTAAAGAGACTGGGACTTTTCAGCTTGGAAAAGAGGAGACTAAGGGGGATATGATAGAGGTCTATACAATCATGAGTGGTATGAAGAAAGTGAATCAGGAAAAGTTATTTACTTGTTCCCATAATGTAAGAACTAGGGGCCACCAAATGAAACTAATGGGCAGCAGGTTTAAAACAAATAAAAGGAAGTTCTTCACACAACGCATAATCAATTGGTGGAATTTCTTGCCTGAGGAAGTTGTGAAGGCTAGGACTATAACAGGGTTTAAAAGAGAACTAGATACATTCATGGAGGTTAAGTCCATAAATGGCTATTAGCCAGTATGGGTCAGGAATGGTGTCCCTAGCCTCTGTTCGTCAAAGGGTAGAGATGGATGGCAGGAGAGAGATTGCTTAATCATTACCTGTTCGATTCATTCCCTCTGGGACACTTGGCATTGGCCACTGTTGGCAGACAGGGTACTGGGCTGGATGGACCTTTGGTCTGACCCAGTATGGCCATTCTTATGTTCTTATGACTACAGAGTTGTCAGAAAAACAGCTGTTTTTCCGACAAAACTTGAGTTACATTCACACTGCAAGCACACTCTTTTGACAGTAAATCGAAAGAACAGAGGGCTTTTTGCGCAACTGGTAAGCCTCATTCTATGTGGAAGAAGTCTTTATGCGAAAGAACTCTCTTGGAAAAAGGCATGTGTGGACAGGGAAGAGGAAGTTCTTTCAAAAGAAGAGGAAAGAGGAAAAAGCACAGGTGCCCTGGTGGCCATTCTGTCCATAGCAATCACTGTTTACATGTGAGAGAGTGTCCAGGCAGTCTGGATGCTATCTTTCGAAAAAGCACATTGCTTTTTCGATGCACTTTTGCAGTGTGGACGCTCTCTTTTGCAAGTAGTTTTTTTGGAAGATCTCTTCCGAAAAAAGCTTCTTGCGCAAAAAGTCTAGTCTAGACCTAGCCTGTGCTTGCATACTTAGATTTTGCAGTGTGTGCCAATTAAACTGTAGCAGCACTTTGATTGGATGGAGAAGGAGCGGATGGTTCTCTCAGTCTACATTTTGTGCAATCGGCATGCACCTGATTTAATTTGTCCCTGCTTCATGTGTGTGTCACTGTAGTAATACCAGTATGAATAAAACTGTGCAGATGGAAACCAGCAGAATCTGAAACTCTGCACATGAGCATGGTAAACAAAATGTCTTGCAGGCTACACACAGAACCCTTATGGGCCACAGGTTGCCCACCTGTGTAGGAGTTTGATGCTGCAAAACTTTAATCTGGTCCTAGATATGAAAGGAACAGAAAAATGACATTTGAAAAACATCATTACTTTGGCAAAATTAAGGTTTGTTGAGTGCTTTCCTCACTATTTGCATAATTTCAAATAATTGAGTTTATTTTAAATGGAATGTTAACTGAGTTTCTTGTATTTCTAAGGTTTGTTTTGATAACTACAATTTTTACACAAATTCCTGAGATGTACTCTTAGACTTAACTACAAAGTTAAAAATTTTTGTCTACGAACTGGTATGTTGTATTTCTTTAAGGCCGAAAAAGATTCTAAAGAGGAGATTCTGAAGGCTTTCAAACTCTTTGATGATGATGAAACTGGCAAAATCTCATTCAAAAACCTTAAACGTGTGGCCAAGGAACTTGGGGAAAATCTCACAGATGAGGAGCTACAGGTTTGTGCCTTGTATGAATTTGCCTATGTCTATAGTGTACATTGTAGTCCATGACTGTATTTCATGTGAGATTTAATTAACATACACTTTTAACATAGGTGACATTGCTCTGGAATCACCAGTCTGGTGCACTAAAATGCCACAGAATCCAGAAATGTTGCAGCAGTGTTCTGAATTAGTTTACAACGCGTACATAGGTCCTTGAATAAGCTCTTTTTAAAAGATGTTTGATACTCAAGAGATCTTTTGTTCTTTTACACTCCATAGTATGTCCTGTTTGCACTGCAGTAGCAGTGCAAAAGGGCCCTAAAACTGCCCTAACCAAGTACTTGAGGATTTTTTCCTGTGGGGGGCAATTCCTTGGTGGAACAACTGGATTGCTATGTCTAGACTGGCATGATTTTCCGTTAAAAGCATTTCAGAAAAGAGCGTCTAGATTGGCACGGATGCTTTTCCGCTAAAGCTCTTTTTGCGGAAAAGCGTCCGTGCCAATCTAGACACTCTTTTGTGCAAAAAAGCGCCAATCTGAGCTGTCTACACTGGCCCTTTTGCCAGAACGGGAACAGCATAGTATATCTGCAAGAAGCACTGATTTCAGACAGTAGAAAGTCAGTGTTCTTGCAGAAATTCAAGCGGCCAGTGTAGACATCTGGCAAGTTTTTCTGCAAAAGCACTTGCTTTTGCGGAAAAACTTGCTAGTCTAGACACAGCCGATCTGTGTTAAAACCTGCTTAGTCTTCAGGGCAGGAGGATGATAGGGCAAGAGAATGTGTTCAGAGCATTGCTGTGTGCCTGTGAATTCTGGTTGGCAGGGCTTGCCGAACTGCAGCGAGCCCCACTTGCCAACCACGCTGTCCAGCGATCTGCGCATGCACAGATCGCCCAAACCCGGCTCTTCAAGGTTACAATCTGCTCGCCATGGGCGAGTAGATTGTATTATTTATTGAGCCCTGCTGGTTGGTATAATGGCTCCATGGTGGCTAATGTCAACCAGCACAATCCCGTGGTTGCTCTGGCTTATGTGGAAGGGGCACACAATGGGCACTAGGATCAGGAGTGGGGATGTAAAGGTTGTTTAAACTTACTCTTGATCTTCCCTGTCCCATCAAGTCCTGTGCTACATGCAGCTCATCCTGATGCAAGCAGGTATATGTGTATGTTTGTAATAATAGAAAGTGCTAAGCTTTACTTAAATTATCTCAATTTCCTGCTGCCTTTTTCCTTCTCACTCTCTCTACTGTTTTCTCTACTCTGGGAGCGTCATCCTGGCTCAAATGGCGGTATTCTGGGACTAAGATCCACACCCCAGAAGGAGCTTTTGCCCAATGCAGACACAGCAACGTATTCCTCAAGTGAATCTTGTGCTGTCCTTTTAGAATCTTAACACAAAGTTCTTTCCATGTGTGCTACTACAAAAAATACAAGTTTTTTTTGTTGGTTTGTTTGGTCTAAAATAGGCTCCGTGGACCCAGACTACATTGAGCATATATGGCCAGATAGATCCTTCTCATAATTATACTTTTGTAACACCAGTGACTGCAGTAAAATTCCAGTAATGAGCAGTTACAAAGATACAATACAGCAGGATCTCTTGGGTTTTTTTGTTCCTTCCAGCATAGTTCCTGTATCACACAATGTATATAGTAGAATAATAAGTACTTTTGACTAGATTGGATGTGAAATTTGCTGTCATAAAATCCTGGGTTCTTTCCGTTTCTCTCTTCCTTAATATACTTCAGTGGGCTCATCTAATCTGGTCTCTGACTCCTTAATATCATGCAGGAAATGATTGATGAAGCAGATCGAGATGGAGATGGGGAAGTGAATGAACAGGAATTCCTGAGGATCATGAAGAAGACCAGTCTTTACTGATATGTTTGTGGATTTTCTTTTTATACATTTGGAAATATATTTGGTAGGCGCATCAGATTTCTCCAGCCTCTGTCATTTCTTAGGGTTAAAAGAAAAGTTGGGTCACTCTGTTCTGTTTGGCTGATCTTTAAACTTCATTTGTGAAATGTTCCAACTTCAAGCTGAGACTATTTTCATGGAGGAAAAACTTTCATGCATTTATTCTTGTTGGTTTTCCACACCGTTTGTTTCAAACATACAATTCATATTTTCAGAATCTTCTTAGCCAAATTAGAACCAGAAAAAGATTGTGCGCGCTTACAGATTTGTTAATGCAAGAGAGCTCAAAGCCAGAGATGTCTAATACAAACTTCCCCACATTTCAGGGTGTGTTTGGATCCAAAGTCTTGGTTTGGGCTCAGTAATATTAAATGCTGCATTTGATAGAATGGCAGGAAGTAGCTTTTTAACCTGTGTCCAAAGAACACCATGCTTTTATGGCAAAGAATGAGCCTTTTCCTTCTTTTAGTATACTTTTGAAAAACATATAAGTGAGCAGATTGCTACAACTTAATGTATTGCTCTCTGAGAAGTTCATCTTTATGCAATCTATTCTTAATGGTGGGGGAAAGGAAGATGTTACAACAGTTTAAAAAACAGACTGTTGTGGGGATTACTCAATGGCTCCTAATTGTATAATTTTGCTTTAAATAAATTACTGGATTTTTTTAGTCATCATGGTTGACACAGTTGACTTCTTGATTTTGCAAACAACAAAGTAAATGCACCAAATTCTCTTATTAGACTGATAATATGTAAATAGTATTTATGCAAAACCCTAAGAAAATTCCCCATTTCATCACCCCTAGAAATGACTCTGTGCTGAATGTTTAATGAGGTGATGGGAGAGGGTGTTTGTTGTTGCAGAGGACCTGGTGTGACCATGCCGAGCAGCCTGGAGCCCAGACAGTGGGGCAACCACAAATAGTGAATGGGCTACATGAGCCCACAGACCCCTGTCTATCCCTTTCCCTCGTAGACCTCTTGTCCAGTGGGGCACTGGAGCCCTGCATTTCCTACTCCTCCCCCGCTCTGGGTTGCAGCTGCTCAAGCTGTGGGAGGGAAGAGGATGGAGCACATATTAGGGGATTTGTGGTGCTCCAAAAGTGTTGTGAGGGAGGAGCAGGAAGTGCATGTGGGAGGGGAGCCAATGGGGCTGCAGACCACATGCAGGTTGAAGATTGCCCATCAGTGGCCTGGATGCGGTGGAACTTAGCAACACTATGGCTACGTCTACATTGGCATGATCTTACGCAAATACTCTAACGCAACAGTTCTTGCATTAAAGTATTTGCACAAGAGAGCAAAGTAAAAGGTCACAAGTACCAATAAAGCGCCCTTATTCTCGTAAAGTTATAGCTCACTCACCCATAAAAGTGGTAAAAAACTAGCTATAACCGGTTCCCCTAACAAATCTTAGGCAATATTTAAGTTATAAGCAGCCACCCCAACAAAAGTAAAAATGTTTTCTTGTCTTTCAAATCATCAAAAAGCGCTAATGCCAGCTAAAAAAACAACAACCAACAACAACAAAACATAGAACATAAACTTATTATGTTATGACAGAACTGTCCAAGTTTGTCTTGTGTGTCTTAATTGTAATACATATTACAAATATTGTTGTATATAAAATATTGTTTTAATAAAAAAATAATTTAAATAAAGCAAAAGCGTTAATTTAAACCAACAAAATTAATAATTAAGCCCAATCAGTTAGCAACTCTAAACTTAGTCAATTGGCAACTTTAACATTTAATAAAAAAATAATTAATAATTGTTTAAGCTAAAAAAATGTTAACAATGTCTCCACAGGTAAACAAAAAACAAAAAAAAAGCAAAAAAATGCAGCACGTAAACAAAAAAACTAAAAGTAGGGTACCAACCCTTTCCCCCCAAATTGGTTTTGCTTTAATGGCTACACAAATAAAATATTTAGCTTCTATAAATATGCACACCAACCATAAAGTAGTTTAGCCAAAAATAATAAAAAAAATCTATAAAAAACAACACGGGCACGTAAAACATCAGCATATTTAAGTAAAAATGCCCACAACAATAAAAAAACTAATAACCTCACCATTGCAATAACAGCTACTTGCCTTGCTACTCATTAGTGCCTAATGCCTTAAAAAGCCTAAAAAATTATAAAATTGCATAGGTTCCTATTAACAATTAAACATCTGTAAACCATGCTTAGTCCTATAAAAAAAAACACAGTAACTCTAGTCAATATAACCTCCTTCAAATCACATACATAAAACAAATACACACTAATAGCAATAAAAAATACACAGCCTTAGGCCTCCCCTCATTCACACATAATTATTTTGTTTATTGTAACAACAAACACTAAAAAAACAAAAAACACACAGTCCTCCAAGTTAAAGTTTATATAAAATATTATAAAAAAAGCTAAATACTAACATTAAGCTACTAAAGTTAAACCTACTAACTCCCACTAGGGCTTACCACTTAAAGCCCAAACAAAGGTAACCCCTAAAGCATAGCTGTCATTTGTTAAACAATAGCCATTGCTAACTTGCCCTCATTTAAATATTATTAACCAAATCCTTAAAAACAAAATAAAGCCTCCCAATTATGCATCATGTCCTAAACAAACCTGTCCCAAAACAACTATCACTAGTCCTTACGTTAATAATGTTCCACACTGGTATAAACCAGCTGTGTGCTAAACTGGCTAATCAAATTAGCAAGTGCCTAATTAGGCAACAAAAAAGCTTAGCAAATACCATCACAAATTAGTTTAGGCCTAAAAACTCTATCAGCAACACTTATGTCATAGTCCAAAAATTATATAAAATCCAAGCTAATAAATGCAGTAATATCCAATGCTCGTAAAGGCCTAAACACCAGCCAAGCCAACCAATTAATCCTAAATAGTTTAAAAAATCTGTCCAGCTCTGTATCCATTTCACTAAACCTAACCAAATATTTAAACCAAAAATTAAATTGTTAATTAATAAAACTAAATTAAATTAAAGCCAATATTAAAAAATAAAATAGCTTTAACCACCCAGCCCTTACAATAATAAATCCCCATCTCCCCTGTGCCTACCATAAAAATAAAAAATCCATAAAAACCCAAAAGCCCACCTAAACAAGGCATAATATAACAGTTTGTTTTTAGCCCCTCTAAAAATTCCTCACTCAAATCAAATCAAAATAACAACCTCCCTGCCTATACCAAAGCAAAAGCATATAAATAAATCAAAAGCATTGCTTATTCTTGAGCAAGAGCATCATAGTTCTTGCGCAATAGACATAGAGCATCATAGTTCTTGCGCAAGAACCCCCCGCCAGTGTAGACAGGCAGCATGTTTTTGCACAAAAGCGGCCGCTTTTGCACAAAATCATGCCAATGTAGATACAGCCTTAGGCTATGTCTACACTCGCAGCTTCTTGCGCAAGAAAACGTCCACACTGCTACGTGCGAGCTGTGCTTGTGCGAGCTGTGCTTTTGCACAAGAGCTCCCATGGCAGTGTGGACGCTCTCTTGCGCAAGAAAGCTCTGGTGGCCATTTTAGTCATAGGGCTTTCTTGCGGAAGAAATCCTTGCCGAGCGGCCACACTGCCCGCTTGCGCAAGAGCTCCTGTGCGAGAGGGCTTACACCTGTTAAAAAAGAGTGTAGCTCTTGCACAAAAAGCCCTCTCTTACTATGACATACTGTACATTTCCTTGCACAAGAGCGGGCGGGCAGTGTGGACGCGCTGCAGATTCTTGTGCAAGAATAGCCATACTTGTGCAAGAAGCCGTGAGTGTAGACATAGCCTTTGTGATCTGGAGGCCCACTCCATGTTTGGAGGCAGCTGGTTCTGGCCAGTGGGAATGAAGGACAGAAGGGAGAAGGTCCAGGTGATCTGTTTGCCCAGAAACAAAGGGGGGGAAAAAACCAGAGGGGATTTCTGGAAGGTGATACATGATTTTTGGCTGGAAGGATGTAACTTCTGGACTGTAGACAAAGGGTAGCCTGAGCCATCTTGATGCAAGATAGATTGTTCTGAGACTTTTGAGGCCAGAGGGCCCTGAGAATTTCCTGTCATGTTCTGATGTACAATAAACTGTTTCACCCTGGCTGAGAATCACTCCAGGCTAGAGATTGGTATTGTATTATTCCCTCCTCTTGGAAGCAGCAGCTCTTGCCCACTGGGCTCCCAGGCTTTGCTGCCTTGCCTCAGTGAAGATGCCTCCCTGGAAGCCAGCTGAATTTAACCAAGACCTTTAACCAATCAGCATCAGCTGGGGCATGATATGCAGGAGGCACTTAGTAAAAGGTGTAGGGCTTGGTGAGCTGTGGAATGTTCAAGTGCCTTCTCTCTATTGCAGAAACATAACCCTGTGCAAGGTAGGTCCTTGCAGCATAGGTCAGCTCTAGCCTCAGCCCTGAATTGTATTGAGAAGGACCCTTTGCGATACCCAGCCCACAAATGGGCAGCACTAGTTCTATCCCCTCAGCAAAACAGGCACCCCTAGCAAAGGGGCAGCTACCACGTCATCCCTGCTTCTTTGCTGCCCCCATGGCCTTTTGCGGAGCTGCCATCAAGCACCAGAGTCTATGTGCCAGGAGTTGAAGCAAATTCAGCGCATGGCCATCAGAGCTCATGCTGTGATTATGGACGCAGGTGCCCTTGGTGCACAGGTGCCAGACAAGGGCAAGGCAAGCCCCCTCCTGGAGCAGATTGCTGAGTGGCTGCTGGTGCAGAAGGCAATGGGAAGGGTAGGGCTGGGATTACTGCCTGAGACCCTATTACAGGGTGTCCTGGAGCAAAGGACTGGGCCAGGGGCTGCAGCCTATAACACAACAGGCTGCCAGCAAGGGCACCATGACTGGCTATGCCCTGAGCAGGCATTGTCACCATAGGCCAGTGTTTCCCAATTTTATTTGGCCACAGAACCCTTTTAAACTCAAAAGAATTTTGCAGAACCACTAATAAGTCTTAGAATCATAGAACTGGGAGAGACCTCAGAAGGTCAAGTCCAGCCCCCTGCTCTAGGCAGGACCAATTCCAACTAAATCAACCCGGCCAGGGCTTTGTCAAGCCGAGACTTAAACACCTCTAGGGATGGAGACTCCACCTCCTCCCTAGGGAACCCAGCCCAGTGCTTCACCACCCTCCTAGGGAAATAGTTTTTCCTAATATCTTGTACAAGGAGCTGAAAAAGTAGACCACAAATAAGTAAGGGTAATAAGAAACAAATGCTAAACTTTGTCTGCTGCGGTGCTAGTATATTTGTATTAGGGAGTGTGGCTCACGTGGGTGACAGAGCGAGTATGTGGATTCATGGTGGTATGTAACAGGAGATCGCATGCAGCACTCAGTACTGACATCATCCCCACTCTGGCTACGCTGGCATTACACAGGGACATGGAGGCAAACAAACATGAAAATTGATTTCAATAAAATTCATAAATGCTTAAATATTAATGTTTTTACATCATAAAATGTTATTGTAATGGAATTCTCACTTCCTGAAAGCCTGGAGTTCCAGGGAATACCATTTGGAAAACACTGCCATAGGTAAAGGCTGGAGGGGCAGGAAACATGCCGGCTGCCATTAGGAGATGCTCACTGCACCGTGCAAAATCAGAACAACCTGCAGCTGCTTCTCCCATTGAGACAGTGACCCCTGACAGCTTGAAATGAGCACTTGCAGAGCAGT